AAAAATTAAATTTAAAATAACATTCATTAAGTAAAATATTATTTATAAACTTTTTTTAATTTATTATATTAATATATGTTGTATCATCATTAATGATATGACCTATATATTAATATACACTTTTACTAAAATGCACCTATGGTGTTTTATCACCTATGTTGTATTATCTCAAAAACTGGCTAATTAATCGAGTGAGATGTTCTAAGTAAAAATGTTTTATACCCCCCAAAAACCCTTTCCAAACCCTAATCCTAACCTTAATATTAACTTTAACGTGAAAAAAATTGGTGTTAAAAATTTTATATACAAAACTTATAAAAACTTAAAAAATTTTAAAAAAACATAATAAAAACATATAATAGATACAAAACTACTATAGGTGCATTTTATAATAATTGTTAATACATATAACCAAAATTTACTCTTAACAAAAGTTGCAAACAATAGAGATCATTGAGTGTTGGGTATTGGGTAAGATACGGTACAAAAAAGTAACTGTATCTAGATAAATTTTTTTTAAGCAGAGTACACAAAAAAAATAATAATTACTGTACCAAGTTTTTTTTTTGATGTTAGGTATGTAAAAAAATAAACACTTAATAAAAAAAGTTTACTGTACCCAAATCTAATATTAACAATTTGGGTACAGTATAAAAAAAAAAATAAGTAATTTAAAAAAAAATATACTGTACCCAAGGTTATGTATATACTTTTAAGTATGGTACAAAAAAAGGTTTGTAATAGATTATTATAATTATAATTGGAGTTAATTGAGTTAATTCTATGTTAATCTCACTTGGGTTTTTAATAAAAGTTATAAAGAATGTTATTATAATTCTAATAGTAGTAAAAAAAAATACTAATATATATTTTAACTTCTAACTGTACCATACTGTACTTAAAAGAATAATTTTTTTATAAGGTATACAAATTATAAATCTAGTATATCTTTAAAATATAATATTAACTGTACCGTACCTAGGTAATAAATATTTTTATTAGATACAGTTTTCAAATTTATATATACTATAATTTGTACCTATTAGGTACACAAAAATTACTAGATATATATAGGTACTTTAGAAATATACTATACCGTACCCAATACCTAACACCGTACCGTACCAAAAGGTATATACTCGAGATCATTCGAGATGTTTTTCACAGTTTAAATGTAAAGCAACTATATTTACACTAATCTTCTAAATACAGTCAAACCCCTCTATAGTCACACCTTTGGGATACAAAAAGCTGTGATTATAAAGAGGTGTGATCAATATAGAGGTATTTTTTATATAATTATAAATAATTGGTAAAAATAAATTTGTAATTATATTAAATTTGTGACTATAAAGGTGGTAACTATAGAGGGGTTGACTGTATTTACAATCGAAAATATTCAATCATTTATTTATTAATATATAGCTTCCAGAGATCCACTATTCTTTTTCTTTTTTGGAAAACAAAATATTTCGCTATCTTTAGTATGTTTCGACTTATTTACTGCATTATTTACCTCCGGAATCTTCCGACATTGTGGCTTATCTTCAAAAATGGTCCCAAATACACTCCATGGGTATGATTCTTGATCCTCATCATCCGTTAAATTTATTTCATTTGTATTAATTATACACCATTGAAGAGTTAACTTTTCCGAATTATTTATCAAATTATCTTTAAAATTATCTTCTTGTACTTTTTGAATGTTCAAGTCAACTTTTGTGCTTGTCCAGGATGTGACATTGGTTTTATAAAAAGTTGTTTCTTTCAATGTGCTAGAAACGAATGAGGTTACTAAAACATTGCCCTTAGAAATTTCTTTGCTTTTAAAATATGTTGAAGATTGGTCTCCGTTGATATCAAGTCTTCCATACGTAGCCTTAATTTTTCTGAGATTATGTTGATAATATCCTTTGGGTTTGGCAAACATAAACCACAATATCTTTAATTCGTCTTTGCTTAAACTTTAGACAAGAATTGATGTTAGAAAATTGTTAAAATAGTAAGAATCATAGGAAAATAAGGGCATTGTGAAAATTGATTATATAAGTGATACATCGTTCAGAATTGAATAATTCTTATACTTTTAGATTAGAATGGTGTACAAATCGTTCGATTTTAATGCTAACTAAGTAGCAGAAAAATGTATAGATCACATATTTATTATTCAACCAGAACACTTTCTTATGTTACATCTGATCTTATTTTCTGATTGAACGTGATACTACACGGCTGACCCACTTCACTGGTCGAAATGATAAAACCAGTATAAGTTCATTCTAATCGAAATAAGATTAATTAGCTGCCGGATGTGCTGAGTGTTTGTAGCTCAGTCAATATTCATCTAGTTAACTGGCTAAATATTGACAGAATGCCAATAATAACCAGTATACGTTCACATTTTCAGCCAATACCTTAACTAGAATGAGTACCGATTTTCATTTTGACAAATGCTTAACACGAGGAGAATAGTCGTGACGAATTATCAACATGTGATCTAACAATTTTCATACCATTCGATTAATCGCATAGAAAGTGCAAAGTCGTTCAATTCTGATAACTGGGCCACGAGATATCGAAATCCAAATGTCACATCAATATTTTTTTTAAAGGATAATATCTTGTGATCCAGTGAACAGATTCGAGCGATTTTACACTATTCGATTCGAATCATTAACGGTCGAAAAAAGTTTCGACTTCCATCAATGTTGAAACTTTCAAGTTTCATCTAACTTTAGTTATAATCAATACCCCATTTACCTTATTTTTAACACAAAAAAAAAAAAGAAAAAAAAACAATGGTAATTATAAATGTTATACCTTCTTTTACTGCTTTTGTGGATAATTGCTATGCAACTATATCTATTAACGTTATCAAATCTAATCATCACATCGGGGATTTTTTCCCAATTTCCACGAGCATCCTTCTTTACAAGACATCCATAAATCTGGCAGTTTTCATCGAAAAGCGGTCCAGGAAATTTGATAGTTACTGTGGTTTGATTATCTCGAGGGAGTGTTTCTTTTCCGTTAAATACGATACGATACTTATCGCTTAAGATTGATTCAATTTCATTTTGTTGTGATGTTGCTAGGATTCCATATGTTGAAATCCAGTCATCGTAATAAATAACTTTCCAATTATTGTAATTGTTTGATTGAATTTCATGCCACTCTTCAATTTCATCTCGTCTAATAGGCTTATTGTCGTCTACGAAAAAAGTTGTATCTAGATCTTGGTACTTATTATCCAAATCCGTCAAAATCTTTATTGCTTGTGCATTAAAATTTTCAAAATCAGGATCTTGCTTCTTAATAGTGTTTGGAGGAATATTACAGGAGTCGTATGTTCTAGTCAATTTTCTGCCTAATATTATTGTTTGAGGAACTAGAAGTCCATAAGTATTGTTAAATAATTCGCAGAGATTGCTGTATGGATCATTACTTCTTAGAGCATCATCTACCGCATTAGAAAACTGTTCAGAGGGTTTTATAATTGATTTAAAAGAAATTTTTATTGCACTAAAAATGATCTGACAGAAAACTGTCCTTGAAGGATTATTTTCTAAACCTTGGAAATACTCTAAAGTCTGATTGTCAATGAATGGGATTTCACTGAAATTTAATTCTTCTTCCTCCTTTAAACCATTATCGAATAAATAAGCAAGTTGTTGAGTTTCGGGTTGATATAATAAAATAGTGATATTATCGATTGGTGTAATTATAGGGTCTTTTGGATATTTAAACGCGGCCCTGTCTCCATTCCCTAATTTCGAGCGTTGTAAGAGTACAGCATACTCTAATGAAAGATCATGAATCCAATCACGCATATATAATAATCTTGGTTTTCTGTTTTTTATCCATCCTAAAAGCTTTTGTCGTCCACATTGAGTTAACATTTGTGGAATTATCCTTACAATAGGTTCAACAACGGGTTGAGGTAAAAAAAACTCCAATATCCGCTCAACCAAGTCATGTGGTAATAACTCATAGGATGGTCTAATATCTTCGTACGATATAATCTCTGCATAATGATAATTATACAGGTCTTTTAGCCATTCATAAAGTTCTCCAATCGTTTTTATATTTTTTGAAATTTCAAATCGGGGAAGAACATTAAGTGGAGTTTCACTAAAAATTTTTGAACCTCCACCTTTTGCATAGTCTATTCCCCATTGAATATAAGTCAATAGACGGGATTGTTCTACGTAATCAATTTCTGACCAATTTTTTATCGTGATAGCCCCACCAATAACAACTTCAGTAATTACAAAATTACCCCATTCATTAAATACCTTATTTAATCTCTCTTTTTTCTCAATATTATCTGACAAATCAAGAACATTTTCAACATCACGAGAAAATTGCTCTGCTACACTTCCCCGGTATTGTACAGTAGCTATTGGAATATGTATTTTTACATCATCGCACAAATGGGATAAGCCATTTTCGTCATCTGAATTTTTAAATAAATTCATATTGTTTAAAATTGCCCAGGGGTTCGTACTTTGTTCAATTGGTGCTGGAAAATAGATAATTGGATCAGACTTTTTCAATTTATTTATGTTTAAATGTCCGCAATCACTAAGTATTGTTTTTGTTCCGGGAACAAGATCATGTTCAACGCAATTCCTTCCTTTGTTTAAATTAAAATAATTAACAAGATCAATTTTTAGCTTTTTTTGTCTTTCATCATCCAATATACTATTTTTATTAAGCCTATGACTTTCATCATATGTTTGTTCAATATGTTTTAATTCCTCAAGAATTTTAGAGCAATCAGGTCTTTTATCTATAATTAATATTAGT